TTGTTATCATGGTTTATCACATGTTGGTGTGTTGTAGTGATTTGTTATATCTGTATCCTGGTATATAGGATGATGCTATGCTTAGTGATCTGTAAGATATGTCTGATTGGCTATTGAATGATTATATGTATGCTTATCTGTTATGTATATGTCGGTATGGTTTATGTGTGGTTGGGTTGAGGCATACCAATGTAGACTGAAGGCTAAGAGACCCGGGGTGTCCCGAATAGACTGCAGGCCCGAGAGGCGTACTAATGAGGCCGAAGGCCCGAAGAATGTTCCAGATAGGCTGAAGGCCCGATAAGGCGTATTGGTCATGCTGAAGGTTTTGTGAGCGTACCAGATAGACTGTAGGCTGGAGGGGCGTTCCAATCAGGCTGAAGGCTCTATATGCATGCTGTCTTTATTATGCTTATGTTACGTGTTGGTACTTTGGGGGATCTCACTAAGCGTTGGCTTACAGTTTTGGGTTATGTTCCAGGTGATTCAGATGATCGTAGGAAGGCGAAGGCGTGACTGTACACATCCTCATGTTTTTGAATTATGATTTTGGGAGATTCTGATGTTGAACTTGTTTTGAAAACTATGATTGTAAACAATTTGTGAATTTGGTTGGTTTTAAAAAGTTTAAATTTATCATGATTTTTATGGATGTTACATTATATATATAAATGTATTTAGAACACTCTCAAACTTACAATGAGTCCCTATAACAGAGGTGTTGACTAATGTGTTACCCCTCCCGATGGTTCATCGGACGTCGTAAATGTGTAGACAGTTATCATCCGTGACTTGACCGTCGAGGTTGTAGCTAGCAACCGCATTTGGGGTGTCAACCCGTATACAACTATAAATAACTCTCCCGCTAACTTAAGATTTAACAGTTATAAGTCCGTGGTATGTTAAGTATTACACTTAGTGTGATGAAATGTCTCATGTAAACCATTAAGTGAGTTGTTATAACAGATTGTAGTCTTAACTTAAAATGTCAAGTTACTAGGCCAAAGATTAATAGTGTATAACTACTTTATAACAAAAATTTTAACAATGCATAACTACTACATAAGTTATGTGGGCATAGTAACAACAATGCATAACTATTATCCAAGTTATGTGAATAGAATAACGACAATGAATAACTAATATCCAAGTTATGTAAATAGAGTAACGACGGTGTAATTTATCAGTTTATATACACGACAGTTTAACAATAGTTAAATAGCGTTTAATGTTTATATAAACGATAAATATAATTTTAAGCATGCATTCTTCCCTCAAAATGGTAAAATGTTTTAAAATGGGGCCATATGAACTCATTTTCGAAGCGTGCCTTTAAATATCATGTTTTTATTTAAAACATCTGATCAGGTCAGAAAATCAATCGGGCAGCGCTTCTCCGGAAAAAGGTCGTAAAATGATCAGAATAGAGGGGACTGATTTCTAAAAAAATACGGAAAAACTTCACTAGAAACGTTATCCGATCGCCAGAAAGTCATTGGAATATGGTTGTCGGCTTGATCATCATTGGAAAAGAGGGTCTTCGGAGTTCTTGTCGATGGTCAGGAGGCTGTCGGACGTCGTTCAGAGGCCAGAGCTCGGTCGGTGGTGGCTCGATGAATTAAGGTGGCGGCGCCGACGGTGGTTCCCGATTGTGCGTCGAACGGAAAAACAAGGAGAAAGAGGGAGGTTTCAAGAGAGACGGGTGATATGAGGGATAGAGGGAGCGAATCAACCGTTATTAATAGTCCAATTTCTTGGGTGATGTATATGAACGAGAACCTGACGTGTGGCGCTTTCTCGTGCGGCTTGTCTTGAGTGCCCCAATCCGACTTCTCGCCAAAATTTGCAAGTTACAGATTTATACTACTCAATTTTACCTTCTGTAAAACATAAAAAATATTCACCTAACGAGTTGTACAACTAGGCGAACGAGTCATCTAGAAGTACGTTAACGGTAGATTCTCGTTTGTTGCGATTCGACTATATTCACGAAAGTGTCAGTTTTTCGTGAAACGGAAAAGTTAGCAATTAAATCAAATGCTAGACCTTTTCTTGATTCTTAAAATGTTAATACGTTTTGGTGACGAGCCTCGTAGCTAACCTAACAAATCGTTTAAAGATTGGTTAATGGGAAAGCCGAAATTGCTCTGCCTTGATCTTATCCACAGTAGTGTCAGGCGGTTTAGGCAAAATGAGTTACTTTTACAATCAAATACTAGATTGAACGGTGATTCAGAGAAATTGTTAGAAATTCCAATTTCATAGTTTAAGGCACTTAACGAAATGTTTGAAGTTTCGTTATTACGATCACAGGTTGCAGACTGTCTCTCAACTGTCCTTTTTCTTCGGATTGTCATAAATTTTACATATGAACTCCGTTTTCGACGTTCTTCATATCCACATCTTCGTAATTTCGTGTACCCTCTTATTAGTGTGTCATATATTCTTAATAATACTTAATACGAATATCTCTTTCAATAATATATATCAAATCATTACATGTGTATAACGAAAAATGTTTGTTCGTCAAATTTTTTCACCAATCGAAGATTTAAATGATATTTCGGATGCATTTCGAAGTAAGAAAACTTTATTTGCATTAACACGAGTGAAATATGTTACATTAGGTCTATTACACAGAGATTATGTTTGACTAATATTGACCTAATTTTAGCAGTTGTCATAGATGGGTAAGAAGAATAAGTAGAAGGATATTTTATTTCTCTATTCGGAATAAAGTTAAGAGAAATTAAATATTCTCACACTTTTCTTCCTACTTATCTTCCCACTCAAGCATATGAAATGATGACAAGTGTTGACATGTGTCATATAAACTAGAAAAGATTCTCCGGTGTTGCCGGGGTCGGAAGGTATTGCTTTGTAAAGTAAAGTAGCATGTTGGTTGCTTTTTGTCTGTTAATGTGAGGGTAATTTGGTCTTTTCATGTAGTAGGGACTGAATTTGTCACCATAGGTAAACCATATGGACCATTTATGTAATTTTGGCGGTGGTGGTGGTGGTGGTGATGGCAGATGGTGGGTGAGTTTCTGGTATTGAGTGAGTATTTTCTAATAAATAAAACATTAATTTAAAACCAAAAAGAGTATGTTAAATTTGGTAAACCACAGGGACCAATCGTGTAATTTTGTCTAACAATAATAATAATAATGATGAGGGACCATTTCTGCCAAAAGACTAAATACTAATAATATGTAATAAAATGCGAGGGTTATGAAAAATTCAAACCAAAGTCAAATGGTTGTTTGTGAACAAAAGCATAAACATAAAAGATCAATGTTGTAAGTTGGATGTGAAAAAAAAAAGTTTTCATAACTTTTTTAAAGAGCTACACCGATGACCAAATATAGATGAAAAATACAGACGACGGTGGTCTTCAAGAAGCAAGAGATTAAAAAAAAAGACAATATATTTTATACATTTTACACGGATGTCATGTCAACGTCACATAGATGAAAGTGACTATAAATTGTCTACATGTCGTAGGTCGGTAACCTCACGAGCATACATATCCAAATGGATAATCCTATAAATTTGCAAAAGTTTAAGGTCTAATGTAAAATGTTTTGAATTTCATTGATGACAAACCCCAATATTTTGATGGCATATTTCATCAATAATCCAAAATTAATGTTTATATCGTTACGAAAGATAATCATTTTTTGTGATCAATTGTCTATTAAAATCAATTAGATATATAAAAGATAGTTCTTTTTGTTTTCTATTCTTTTGTCCTATACTAGTAAAAAAAATCTAGGCTTCGTCCCGTGTCGTTTTTTTTAACTTTTATTTTTAAAATAAAGCAAAGCATAAGGGCATTTAAATTCATTGATTAAGAAACGAACGGGGAAGAAATCCACTACAAATTCAATACGCAATACAATAAAATCAAAAAAGAACTATATATATATATATATATATATATATATATATATATATATATATAATAAGCATTTGGCCAAAAGTTTCATTTAAAAAAAACATTTATTCAAATCACAATTGAAAAGTAAAAAGAAGGCAGCCAAAAGTAAAAAGAATGCAGCCAAAAGTGTAACATTTACAAAGTGATGTGGTCAAAACCCAAAAGAATGAAACTTTACTGTGTAGACGTCAAACGATTAATACTTTATCAAACGATTAATACTTTATTAATCAGCCGCTAAAGCCAATTTTTACAACACTGGATTTTTCTAAATAAAAAATATATCGTAAGTGTTATGAAGTTTTTGAATGCGGTTATTTTGTTTTGTATTATATATATATAATATATATATATATATATATATATATATATATTTTCTTTTAAATATATATAGATTGATATAAAACTTATGATTATATGTTACGTTAATGTTTTTGAATTGATTTACAACTTGTTTTATGTGGATTTTTAATGTTTGAATTTGTAGACTTCAAATTCTCTATTTATATATGTATGTATGCGTAGGAAAACAAGAAAAATATGAAAATTATAGAAACCGGTTGACCTGACGGTCGAACCTTTTGAACAAAAAACCGGTCAACACACCGGTTCAACTAAAAAACCGGTTTTTAAAACATTTATCGAATGCGTTGATTTTAACTTATACGCACATTCCTTACTTTCCAGGGTTACAAAAACTATAAGATTGGCTATTTAATGATGTTTTGTGTTCCGCCATTTTCTCGAATTTTTAGTAGGGGGGGTCTAAACTTGAAATCAATTGAACTGAATCGTGTAGTTACAAAACCCGAACTTGTCTATATACTTTTCATATTTTTTTGTTTTATTTTTTTAAAATTATTTGCTAGTTTACTATACTTTGGTCATTCGAAAATAAAAAATTGTCATTTATAGCAAAACTATAAACACGATGATTAAAATAAACCACAATTTTCTTAATCCAACTGCCTATTATTGAAAGAAGCATATTCATTCAAATTTATTAACCAAATACTACATAGCAAAATCCCTCGTCTTTTCATCAAACTACAACTCAAACAACTAAGCATCACATCAGGAGAACAGACAATTCTAAATAACACTTAGCACGTTAAACTAATCATAATAGGCCTTCAAACCCCTCAACTTCTCCTTCTTCACTAAACCAGTCATCTATAATCTAAAGTGGGCATCGTGTCTTTTTTGAGGCTTCAAATGCGAATGGACCCACTGTGAACACATCGAAGGGCAGCACTGGCGTAAGTACGATCTTTGGCTTTGGGGTAGGGACTAGAGTGGCACCCTTAATCCCATAGTGCAAGTTGGTGGGCTTGTTACATGTAGCCTTTGGCGACGATAGCAAAGTGACCTTACACTTGTGCACCCCAAAAGTGGTCAACGTCTTAGGTGGCATGATGAAGAAGAAGCCGTTCTTATCGGTTGTAGATTTGACCCTGAGTGGATACTTAGTGTTGTTGCATGTTAAGAGTACCATAGCTCCTGTAATTCATGTTTCGTGCATTAATAAGTTTACTTGGGTAAAAAAAACAAGATTGTGAAGAATTATATATATAATGCACTTCACTAAATTCAACTTATAATACAAATAGAAATACAAATATATTGGTTAAAAGAGAGTGAGAATTTATACCCTGTAGAGGAGTAGCGCCAAAGAGCGTGTCAATACCCTTGTACTTGCAAGCTTTGCAGTAAACCATACCACGGACCGCCACCTGCCTCCGTGTCGGAAGAGGTGCGTGTGACGGAGCCGGTGAGTGACTTGGTGGATAAACAGGCGCCTTGGTCGGAGGATGAACTGGCGCCTTGGTCGGTGGGTGCACAGGTGCCTTAGTCGGAGGATGCACAGGCGCCTTGGTCGGTGGATGCACAGGCGCCTTGGTCGGTGGATGCACAGGCGCCTTGGTCGGTGGATGCACTGGTGCCTTGGTCGGAGGATGCACTGGCGCCTTGGTCGGAGGATGTACAGGTGCCTTGGTTGGTGGATGCACAGGCGCCTTGATCGGCGGGTGCACCGGAGCGACTCTAGGTGGGTGCACCGGAGCGACACTTGGTGGGTGAACTGGAGCTACAGTTGGTGTGTGAGCCGTGGGAGGAACAGCAGGTTTGTGGTGGTGGCCACCGGGACGCTTGGGATGACGGTGGTGGGGCGCTGGAGCTCCGGTAGGTGGGTACGACGGCGAGTGGTGTGGAGCCTGTGTCCAGCTCACATGATCAAGATCTAAACCATTGATCATCAAACAAGAGCTAAGAACCACGACCGAGAGCAAAACCCTGAAACCCATTTTGGTTTCAGTGAGTGTTTTTGGTGTTGTGTGTGAAAGTGAAAAGTAAAGAGAGGGAAGCGAAGGGCACGGTGGAAATGGTGGTGGAGGTGGTGGTATTTATACAGAAGAGACAGCGGCGCCGGGGGAAGAGGTAACCTCTTGCAGAATTTACTTCAGAATTTTTTTGCATAAAAACCAGAGGTTAGTGGGTCCCAATAAGATAGATATAAAATATATAGTCTAAAATTAACATATGCAGTTTTTGTAGGGATGAATGGGTAAAGATCAGAATATAATACTTTTATTATCGAATTAAAATAAAGTAATCAGCTTTGTTCCGAAAATTTTCATTTGGTCGTCGAAATTTGAAAATCATCATGGATAACTTTGAACCGTAATAAAGGGATCTTAAGTAAAGGTGTTCAAACATTTACTATATTTTAATTCAAACTGATTTATTGAAATTTATAAAAACTGATTCATAACAAACCTAAAAAACCTTAACACACTAGATCGTATGCAACTCGATTACTACTTTAACGGGATACTTTATATCCATTTCATTTATTTAAACGTAATCGTTAAAAAATTTATAATACCGTCATTTAAAACTCCTTAGTTAAAATTTGAAAATATATATAATCTTTTAAACCAAACAAGAGTAGACCAATCACCGGATTATGAAAAACAATAGGACCAAGAGTCAAACATATTATAGCCTGTTTCGCTGTGATTCTGGTTTAATTATTTAAATATGAATAGGTAGAAGAAGATTTGAGAAGAAGCGGAGCGGGTGATATTCAGGGTTATCCAGAGTTATTACACGTTGAAGAAGCATGAATTTCTGGCGCGATTCTTGCTTTGATTGTCTTTCACATGCTTCATCCATTAGTGTGTATATATATATATATATATATATATATATATATATATAATATATATATATATATATATGGATGAACATCTATTGTACGGAAGTGTGACAAATACTATTTTGTCACAATAACTAAGAAATAATATGTTGTTTTGTAATATGAATATGTTCAATCACACAACTATTCTCATTATCACGCATTCTCACTAATTAAATCGTTTATAAAGATATCATAAACTTGTATTTATTTATTTATTTATTTATTTTATGATTTTCATCTTTCAGAATGTTGTTGGAATGTGTTATTGATAATCATAAATAGTAAGAATGAGAATGGATGAAAAACGATGCGTGAAAACAAAAATAAATAGGAATTAGTGGGATTGCATGATAATGACGATAGTTCTGTGAGATTGAAATTATTCACATAACTAACAACATATTCTCTTACTCATTCTCATTAAATAGCACTGTCTACACATGTCCGCACAATAAATGTACATCCACATTGTAACATAGCCCTATATATATATATATATATATATAGATATATATAGATATATATATTATATATATATATATATAGATATATATAAGTATGTTCAATCGAGAACATTTGAGAACAAATGTTGACTACTAATTTTTAAATATTGAAAATTTAATGATATATTAAAAAAATATTTTAATTTTCTTAAAACATAATTAGAACTTTATTTTTATTTTTATAGACATTCTCTCTCTTCTTTCTTTCTCTACGTATCTCTCTCATCTTTCTCTCTATGTATCTCTCTCCTATTTCTCTCTCTACATATCTCTCTCTACATATCTTTCTCTCTCTATATATCTCTCTTTCCCGTTTCTCTCTTTGCATATCTTTCTCTCTCTACACATCATTCTGGGTAATTTGAACCAACATCACCATTGACGGAGCTCATCGTTAACTATCTCTCTCGCAAGTCCCAATCGACAGTGAAGTTGATCTCTATAAAGACAGTCTATGAGAGCTTCCAGGTAGTAATTTTCAGTCTATACACCTACGTTTTTTCAACCTAATTTGACTCGATTTCTCATCAAATTCATGAAATTAAGCTTATAATGAACGACTAATCGATGTCTAATACTTTATTTCACATCATAGAAGACATTCTACTTGAAAAATTCCCTTTATGTTTTCCTATTGTTGATGAATTACAAACTTGCTTGTTCATTTGCTTGCTTTTGTGAGGAATTATATCTACAGTTGGATTGTTTTTATTGAAAATTGTAAGCTCTAGGGGCTGAATTAGAGTCTATTAGAGAGTTGATGGTCACTGTAGGATTTCATGCACACCAGGTGTTTGTCATATTGTCTGAAAGCACCTAATAAGTGTGAAAGTGGCATTTTATGTGAAAATCCTTAACTTTGAACCCTCATTAAGCCAAGCATTAAGGCCCTTAGTTTAAATTGAATTTCACATCTCTATAGCCTAATAAGTAACCAAAAATCATGTTAAAAGTGATAAACTTAAGGCTTAACCATTAATTACTTAATAAAACACCAAAAGTGATTTAGAAGCTATTATGATCAATTTTCCCAAATCTGTCCTCCAACTTCTAAAATCCATGCCGGTCAATAAGAACATATAAAATCATGAGACTTAGTTTTCTAGAAATCTTCTTGTGTCTAGTTTCTTCAAATTTTGAATCACATTTCGAAATTCCAACTCCTTGAGGGGTAAAATTGGCAATCTTCACAGGCTGGTCCATGTGGTCACAGATTTCATGCATTGTCTTCAAAAAATCATAATAAATTCATCAGAACTTCAAATGCTAAAATTCCAAAGCCTATAGTTAGATATGGATGTATAGTTTCCCACATATAAAGTAACTGATGTAATTCTTAGTAGATTGGTACATTTTATTCTAAGGAAAGGCAGAATGTAGATTGTTCTCTAGTGAGACAAGCAGACAAGATTCATTTCCGCATTCTCGATTTGTTAATTGTTTTCGTGTATTAAATCACATGTGATTATATGTAACACCTAGTTTGGATTGGAAAGGATTTATGCATGGACTCGGCGAGTTGGAGGCCAACTCGTCGAGTAGGGTCGTGAAATCATGAAATGTGGATCGGGACCGACTCGGCGAGTCGAAGGTCGACTCGGCGAGTCCAAGCTGTTTAAAGAAAACCCTAAATTTTGCGTTTGTCCCCTATACAAACATCATTATCCGCCCCAGTAACCTCCCTTAGCACCATAGAAGAACGTATACGGCCACAAACATTCTTGTGAGTGAAGCAAGATCAATTGGGAGCTTATCCTTGAGATTTTGGGGAGGATTCCAAGCTTGAAGAAGAAGTATCAAGGGGAAAACACTAGATCTAGCATCTAGTTCGTCTTGGGAATTGATTTGAGGTATGAATCTGTTACCTTAATCATAAATTCTATTTGAGAGTTGTGACCAACTTTGAGAAATGGAAGCAAGCATAGATCTGGACCTATCACAAGGATAAGGTTCCAGATCTGGACCTTCTTAGGCCTCAAATGTCATAAAGTTGCATCTTTTATTGAGCTCATTCCCTCTCCATGCATAAGGACCTTGTTTGAAGGTTAGTTTTGGTGTTATGGCCTTGTGAGGCTATGCATGCACGTAAAGTTTGCAACTTTACGTGATATCTTCACTAGGAGAGTTTGGATATGAAGTTTGAAACCTTAAATCCCACTGGAAAGAACCGATTACGTGGGAACTCGTCGAGTCCCTCTGATGACTCGGCGAGTCGAGAGGGTTCACGGCCAAGGGTTCACGATTAGGGGTGTACGGTCGGTGGTTTACGGCCGTAAACATCATGAACTCGACGAGTCCATCGGGTGACTCGGCGAGTCAATGAGTAAGCAGGGAACCTGACGAGTGACTGTTTGTACTCGACGCGTCAAGGTTAAAATGGACTGTTGACCTTGACCATAGACCTTGACTTTGACCAGGGTTGACCCTGGGGGTATTTATTGGATTATTCTGAGTTTTTACTCATTGATTATAGACAGTTTAGGAGGAGCAGCGTGGGATATATCCGACTACAGTTTTCCAGTTCAACCTTTGAGAGGTGAGGCTTCTCACCATACCAATGGGTCTAAGGCACCAAGGCCGGCCCATTATGTGATTAGGTTATATGTGATGGTCATTATGTGATTTGATATAGAATGTGATTCGTTATGATATGTGATTGTGTGTTTTGCATGGAAGACCCCGGGGGGAGCCCGTGGTATTGGATATAAGACCATGTTGGGTAGCCCATGGCATTCCTAGGTAAAGACCATGTGGGGGAGCCCATGACATTGGATATAAGACCATGTGGGGTAGCCCATGGCAGTCCTAGGTGAAGACCGTGTGGGGTAGCCCATGGCATTCTTACAGGTTTTATGTATGCATGGCTTATGTGATGTGTGTGTAGCTTTAATTAGCTAACATGATATGTGTATGTGTATTAGTGTGGTATGCTCTGGGGGACTCACTAAGCATGTCGCTTACAGGTTGTTGATTTGTTTCAGGTACATCTGAGCCCAAGGGCAAGGGCAAGGCGTGATGGCGCGGTGTGCACTCTATCTCTCTTTTACTGATATGTTTTTGGGGACACTCTGATGAATTAAATGAGTTGTAATGAATACCGATTTGAAAACAATTATGTTGGGATTTCATGGATTATGCAAACGTGTTTTATTAATTAAAAATGAAAATTTCTTTGTAAATTTGGGTCGTTACAAGTTGGTATCAGAGCCTTGGTTTGAGGGATTCGGGCACACTCTCGGGTGTGTCAGGACTCAAACTAAGGAAATGATAAACTATTTTCAAAATAAAAGTTAAAAACTTTTAATAAATGAAAAGAAGAGAGTGCAACGCGCGTGATAGGCCGAGCCAAGTAAGTAGTTCTCGATGTGTTAGCCATGTTATACTGATATTTGAGCTTGATGATCGTATGAAAATTTGCTATGTGTATGCTTTTAAAATTGTATACGGTTAGGAGCTTATAGCCTCAAAATGATTGATTTTTGCCTTATTTCCTGTTCCTTGTCTGGTTGTGGTCCTAGGGTAGAATCTTTTATTCGAAAGTCTATTTGATCCTCTTCTGTGTATAATTTGCATGCATAAAGGCAACCTGTTATGATTGTTCTGTTTGATGTGGGTAGAGAAAACCTTAGAACAGTGTAGGATTTGGGGTATGCGGTGGTTTGTAGTATATGATTTGTTTTGGGTCGAATTGGAGCTATCAGGTAGAGCTTTGGGGAAAGGCATGGGTAGGTGTGG